TAACAAAGTAATATAGACAAGTGACATGTATTTAACATATTTTGTACATAATGTACAACGTAATGTACAACATAATGTACAATGTAATGTACAATGTATAATGTATACTTGTACTCGTAACAATACAGTACGCGCCGACGATACATACGATAAATAGCGTGGGGAAAGAATGGTCGAATAATACTTTCCCCCACGATTCATAATAAGTAAAAAGATACCGAACGAGCTCGACAACAGACGGAAAATCCCGAACCTACGCGAACAGCCGTATAAAAAGACCGGAAGAAATCGAAAAGGCACATTCCGCTCCGTACCGTCTTAGGACGACTACCGCTCCGGAAAACGCCAAGAAAAGCATAGAACGAAGAGATCGGGGGTACCCTGTCTCGTGTGGGTGCGTTCCCACTAACTAAGCTGCTCCGAACGTTTCCTTTCCGAATCCTCTTCTTACATTCTTTTCCGACACGATCGGCCAAGTAAACCAGAGGTTGGGCGTTCTCCGCCTCTGTCGGGAGCTCCCGCGGCCGATTGTCTCCACCGAAAATAATCACGGAATCCCCGCGTCGCGAATACCCGGGATCAAACCTCGTTTTCGCGGAAGGGAAAGAAAGCGGTGACTCTCTCTCACAACCGCGCGCGGGAGAGAGAGACAGTCGCTCGCACGATAACAACAACACGGGACCGCACCGCGCCCCGGACCGCGCCGCGCCTAGCCAAAGGAAATAAACACGGCCGTGAGAATTTAAAGGACCGTTCCTTTAAATCTCGAATTTCGATCGCCGACGCGAAAGTAAAAGACATTGTTTCGCGTTGCGCCTAATATCGCGAGATTAATAACCGGCACATTTATTCCAGCGCCGATACACGACACCGACACACACCGCCAACTGGACCCGCGCTGATCAATCACCCACACATTTATTTTCGCACACGAATACGCACGTCACACATTTGTAAAATCATCCACGCCGTCACACGCACAGCGATATACCTATATTATACGAACACGCACACACCCACGATTACACACACACTTGTAAATAATATACACAAATAAATCTTTTGTTAACTCTAACAAATATTGAAATACCCCAAAAAGTATCTAATTTATTACAAATGAGTGACAATTTTAGCCTTCCAATTAATATGAATAAAAAGGTGGCGATCCATGAGTTCATTACAGATATCGAATGTAACTCTAACAACATTAAAAATCTTAGGACTATACGTAATGTTGCAATTCCTCAGTTTTTTCTATTTTTGCAAAATAACTCTAAAAAAACAGAGACACAAGAAAAACTTTCAAATGTACAAAGCAACGAATAATGTTTGTAATAGTAACCCTAACATCGTGTTCACAAGAGCAGATAAGGGCGGTATCACGGTAGCAATGAACAAAGAATTTTATACTAACAAGGTTGAAAAAATGTTAAGAGACGATAGCACTTATGAGATTGTTAAAAATAATCCGGCAGCAAGGATCGAAAGGGAATTGAATAATTTTTAAGAAAATGGTTAAAAAGTGATTTCATTACAAAGGAAGAATATTATTTTTTACATTCAAGTTACTCTCTCCTTCCCAAAGCATACGGACTTCCTAAAATTCATAAAGAAAACATTTCTTTCAGAATAATAGTTTCTTCTGTGAACACTGCTTTATACCGTTTGGCGTCATTTTTACATAAAATTCTAATAGATAGCTGCGTCCCAAAACAAGTAGCCACATTGGTAACAATCTCGATTTGTGTAACGTTCTCTCTGGTAAACTCTTAAAAATTTAGAAGTATTATTGTCACTAGACGTGATATCTTTATTTACTAATGTCTCTCTGGATCTTGCATTGGACGGTATTAGCAGAAGATGGCAACATATAGAAACCTTCACAAGTATTCCAATGAATGAATTTAATAATGTCATAAAATTTATTTTATCCTCTACTTATTTTACATTCAATAACACTATAAACAAACTTTTATGGTTCTCCTATGGAGTCTCCACTGTCTCCTTTTATTGCTGATGTAGTCATGCAAGATCTAGAGACATCAATACTAAATGCGCTGAACTTTGATTTGACTTTCTACTACCGTTACGTGGATGATATCGTGCTTTGCACTCATTCTGAGAAAGTCTCACAGATTGTTGAAAAATTTAATATAATTACTATGAGAGGTTAAAATTCACAATTGAATACGAGGCTAATCGTAGCTTAAATTTTTTGGACGTCTCTTTCAAAATAATAGATAACACGATTTATACGGATTGGTTTCACAAAAAAAATATATTCGGGTAGACTACTTTCTTTTTATTCCAACCATCCCAAATGCCAAAAAATAGGAGTAATTTACAATTTAGTTGATAGGGCGATTTTATTATCACATCCACAGTTTCATGAGTGTTGTGTGCCTCGGGTCGAGCACAAGGAATCGCGCCAAATTAGGATGAGGATCCGGAGCGTTAGGGCTTGGATCGGGGTTATTGTATTAATTCACTTCACGTTCTCACTATTAAAAAGTTTTTATTTGAACTAAACACTTGACGTTATCTTTATTTTTACAATATTACACTTTGTAGTTACTTAACTATTATAGTTGAGCGAAAGCGATTACGTATGACTTCGTGAATCGCGCGCGCGACTGCGATAAGATGTTATAGATCGCACGCGGTTAGCGAGGTTACTCTTAATTAACGACTCGAGAGCGATTCTGGATTTATAACGCTAGTTAACGACTCGTCTGATTGCGAGTCGGGAATTATCCTTGATGTGATTCGGATGGTTGGTCTAGTTGAACTCGCTTTCTGTTCACTTCTTACGTGAACTCGGTTTTTCGTTATTTCGTTTGGAAAGCCTGTCGCCAGGCACCCAATTGGTGAATAGTTTTTGCTTACGCGGCTAGATTTTGAGCGCAAAGCTGCTCGAAAGATGAAGCTCTTAGCTTGCGTCTTTGCGGTTTCCGTCCCGCTGCTGTATCAGCGGTCTCCTCGCGGAAAGTATAGTAATTCTATATTTTATATCCGCTATATTTATAATTATAGCCTTTCGGGTTATAACATCCCTCCCCCGTTGAAAAAGAAAAACGGAGGTACGAGGTTTTTCGTTATACATTTGGTTTTAACAATATTTGATTATGTTTATATCTTATTCTACGTAAGGTAAAGTGGGGTGTTGTGTGCCATGGGGTGTCGTGTGCCACTCAGTTTACCGCCATGTCGGATTAGTATGACGTCATCTACGTAATGTCAGCTTAGTTTCTAGACCTACTCTCACTTTTCATGAGCATCCGACGCTTGTGCACGCGTCCCACAAGTTTTACGAATTGTTCTCGTTTCGTTGTGCTCCGTAAAGTTTTCTAGACGATTCTTCTTCACGCAATTTTGCAGGCAAGTGAAGCGACAGGTAAATCTTCAGATATTTAAAAGTATCTATGGACTATTGCCTTCAAAATCGTTAAAGTGATTTTGTGCTAATGTAGCATGTGACGAGGTTATGGTGGCTATTTCGAAATGTAGCATATGGGGTGTTGTGTGCTACTCCATTTTTGACATTTTACCAACGCAGTATACATGTGTCATACATTTTAGACATTTTTAACGCATTCTTTGCATTTTTCATGCAAATGTAAAGTAATTGCAGTAATTTTTGAAGAATTTTATTACTTTTTTAAATGACTTTTTTTAAAAATGTTTCATAGTCACAATTTAAACTTACAAAAATAGTAACTTACTGCGATAAAAAAATTGCAATTGAAAATAAAATCCGGAAAGCATATCATATAATATTGTAGAATGAAATTGCGGTGTATAGAAAAAATGACGGTGGCAAATATAGAAACTGAGTCAGATGATAAATTAGTCGATTTTCTTACAAAGCAAAGTAGCAATTGGCGGCAAAACGGTAAGTTGTTTTATTTCGCTTCGTTTGTTCAACATTTTGCAAAGGACGTCGACTTCTGCATTATTTGTATGTATGCCAAAAAACTGAACAGAAATAACGCAATTCATTGCAGTGAATGCGATCGGGCTGTTCATCTAAAGTTGCAAATATGAAAACAGGATAACTTGTTCTCAAAAGCGGCTGAAACTGATTAAATTTTCTATTATAAAATAAACGTATATTTTTATTTTTTCAAAGTTTAATAAAGAACATTTATCAAAAAATGCTATTTTCTACTATTTACAGTCGTACAACACCCCACAAAATCAAAATCCCAAATTTACTTTTTTTCAGAAAAAACAATTTCAAAATTTGCAATTTCAAAAAATGCTATTACAATTTCCAATAAGAAAAAAATGAATGTTTAACATTACAAGTTATGGTGCAAAACAAAACGCGGCAAAAACTGCCCCAATAACACCCAACTACGGTTTCCGATATATTAACCGATTTTGAATTGTTTCTTAAAATCTAGTACTTTGACTCCTTTTTAGTATAGATCTAGGTAAATTCCAGTCAAGTATCGTGACTCTCGGTCTTCTTTAATCATCTCTTTTTTTTTATTTCTTATTTTCCTAACTAAAAATATTAATTAATTATTATTATTCCGAGTAGATACCATTGGATATATAAATTGTTTTTGCGTGTCGTGATCTAGCTGCCTCGGGTATGTATTTTTTAATTTTCTTATAGTGCTTTATTTTATTTGCATGTATTCGTATCATCCGCCTTCTCTTTTTTATGGTGTAATTGACATCAGAAAATTTCCTTATTATATATGGTCCTGTTCAAAGAGCGTCGAGTTTCTTGGATCGTCCGCGTCGTAGCGTATTGTCTATAAGCACTTTATCACCGACTTTAAATTTTTTTTGCGTCTTTATTAATATTTTTTTAATTTATTTTTTCCTCGTTTACGCGAGCTTTTGCAATTTGTTATGTGGCCCTTAACCTTTCCCAGCTCTTCGTGTAGTCAATGAATACGGGACGCGTATCGGGCGTGACGTGGGGTGGGCGTGTCCCGGAGGGCGGGTGAGCCGCATTCTTTGCACGTCACCCTTGATACGCGCACCGATACGCGAGTAGTGCGTCGTGGTGGTTTTTGGGGACGACCAGCCTTGACCGATTCGCGATACCGGAATAGGTAATTTCAAATATTCGTCTGTTTGCGTGTATGCGTATTTCTTCTTCCTTTCATTTAAGTTGACGTCGGACAGTATTGTATACGGTTGCCCATAAGGCGTCAAGTTTCTTTGATTGTCCGCGTCAGCGTATCGTAATAATAAATACTTTATAAACTGTAACGATTTACAAAAAAATTTATCATAAATTTTTTTGATTTGATTTTCCTTCGTTTACGCGATCCTTCGCAAATTGTGGCCCAGTTTAAAGAATTCGTAATCGTCGTAAGCATCATGAAAATGTTTACCGGTTAATGAACGGTAGGTTTGATAAAGTAAATTAATTTGTGTATCCCGTTGCACTGTGCGGGGTCGTAATAATAAAATTATAAGGTGTCCATTCGTCATTCTGTTTGAAGCGTCAAATAATGGCGAAGATACTCTAAAAATGTCCATGAGTGACGATAGTCGTCGTGATCTGGGTGTACCTTGATTAATTAAATAAACAGTTTAATAGTACGCGTTTTAGTAAATAGGAAATGATTATAAATATTGTCTCCGGTATAAACGTTTCTAAGCTTTCGTTGTAACGAAAAATCTTTGCATTCCTTTTTCGGGTTAACGGTTCGGTTTGTTATTTCCTGGACAAAATAAAATAGGTATAACTTAAAAAGTTAATAATATTGAAATGGGTACTCGTATTGGCCGCTTTTACGATGACTTTGCGCGTTAAAAAACGCAACGATTCGGGTGTACGCTGGTCTATATTTTCGCATGATAATCTACGCTTTAAAATGCGGCATACTTGTTACTTTTCGCCTTTTCAACTTTTGATCTAAAATAGACCACTTTTCAATCGGATTCAAATCCGGTGATTGTGCTGGCCAATCCAGTAGTTTGGTGAAGTACGGAAGAAAGCAGCAGTTTTGAATGTGTTTCGGTTGCACCTGTTGAAATATAAAACTATCTTCCAGACCAACTTTTAGCAGAGATTCTTCCAAATTTTTATTGATAATATCAATGTAATAGTCTGCGTCATATCGTCATTTTGAACAAATTTCCCATACCTGACCACGCAAAACATCCCCACTTACATGACTCCTTGTGCGCTAGGGATAATTTTATCTCAGTTTCGCTAGGCTTTAACCAGTGTTTGTACTGAAATAAAATAAGAGACCAAGTGCTTTCGTTCACTCCAAAGAACTTTTTTGCAAAAAGTGTTGTTGACATTTTTTTGCAAACACCCGATTTTATTCCTGACGCAAAGAGCGACGCAGTCAAAATGTTTCTCAACCCAGCTTAAGTCTTCTGCGAATAGTTCGATCAGAAATGTTTAACTGCATGTTTTCTCGAATAACACGGCTGGTAATTGTTGGATTTTTCTTTGTTTCCCGTATAATTCTACGGTCTTCAACTGAATTTGTCTTTCTTCTCCGTCCACGTCCAGATTTATCCGCTACTGTGCCAAGCTCCTAAAATTTTTTCCAATTCTTCCTGACTGCAGCTTCACTTATATTGTATTTGCGAGCGATTTTTCTATTGGAAAGTCCCTCCTACTGATCCTTAATTATCAACTTTCGAATTTGCAGACAAATTTGCTTATTTTCCATGATTACTAGTGAAGAATCGCTACTATACTGAATTTAACAATATGAATATCTAACAATATTTCACAAAATGCAACTATATTCATTTGTTTAAATAGCTTCTATCGTTTCCTAGCAACGCCAAAAGGAAAGCAAAAAATTTGCCGCGCGTACTTTATTTTGTCCAAGGAAAATCTCATAATAAATGTAGCGGACTTAACTATTGAAAAATTTTGAATGTATTTAAGATTTTTATTGTTAAAAAACGAAAGTAGATTAAGAAACCTTCTTTTTGTCCAAATACATTATTATTATATTTGCTAAAACTGTCGAGTTATTCATATAAATATAAAAATATTCGAGGTGCGTACTTTATTTTGTCCAGTAGGGGTAAACAGTACAGTTATTAGCCACTCTACAATGATTGGCTACATTTTAAAAAATTAAAGATTATAAGGAAATACTATTAAAATATTTTCAATTATAAATAAAAAAATGTTTAATACATTTTTCTGCTTCAAATACAATTAATATTTAATTATTTTCTATGTATTGCAATTTATATAAATAATGAATAAAATGACTTTGGTAACATACTTTGAAAACTGTTGCCATTCAATCAAAAAACCGTAAGAGTGGAGCCAACGATTTGCAAATTTTTAAATGTTTTTATGACATATAATTTTTGTTTTCGTGATATACATGCATTAATAAAGTTTAAATTGTGTAAAAAAAATTCGTATCGGTAAAAATACATATATATTTTAAAAATTATAACTATGCCAACGACTAACACACGATTGACGTTTTACAACAGTAATTGGCCACTCGGCCAATGATTGTTTTGTGGTTATGGAAACTGTGTGACAGTTATTGGCCCCTTATATCGAGTGACAGATAAGACAGTAAGTTTATTTGTTATATTACTAAAAAGATATATTTTTCAGCTGTAAATAAAATATTCAATATTCTATCATAATAAATAGAAAGAAATAATTTATTAAAAATATATAAATTTATGTAAAAATAATAATTGATAAAATTTTTTATTAAAAAAATTTTTAATTTTTAGGTTATATTTTAAAATTAATCTATCAAAAAAAACACCAAAAGTTAAAAAAATTAACAAAAATATTTTGAAAATCAAATTGAAGATTAGTACTATTCATGCAGTCGTAAAAATGGATTGTTAAAACATCTTTAAAACAATAATTTGATATTACTAGAAAATATACTACTTTTCAGTCAGCTGTAAGTAAAATATTCAATACTATAGGATATTAGTATTATATCATTATAAAATAGAAACAAATAATTTATTATAAATAAATCAGTTTATAATACAAATTATAATAATTGATAAAATTCTTAATTTACAAATTTTTAATTTTTAGAATTAATTTCTAAATTGAACAAAATGCCAAAAGTTAAGAAAGATAACAAGTACCAAAAAAAATATTGTGAAAAACAAATTGAAGATGCTATTCATGCAATAGAAAATGGAATGTCAAAACATGCAGCTTCAAAACAATATGGTGTCCCAAGATCGACTATCCAGTTCAGAATGAGTAATGCATTTGTAAAAACAACTCCAGGTCCAGCTCCTGTATTAGGTCGTAGTGGAGAAGACGATTTAGTAAATTGGATTATTGATTGCCAACGGAAAGGATTCCCTATGAGAAAAATTAACGTACAAACTAGTGTCAAAGAATTTTTGGATCAAACAAAGAAAAAAAATCCTTTTCGTAATAACATGCCAGGGAATGGATGGTATAAAAGTTTGTTAAAAAGAAACCCAATTCTTACTGAAAGACATCCAGAAGGAGTTACTAATGCTAGTTCTTGTGTTAGTAAAAATGATATTAAAAATTGGTTTAAAGAGATATATAATTATTTGGCAGAACATAACTACTTACATATTTTGGAAGATCCAACACGTATATTTAATAGTGATGAAACGTACTTTATGTTATGTCCAAAGATGAAAAATGTGATAGCTCCTCGTGGAGCACGAAATGTTTATGAAATTGATAGAGGAAACTCTAAGTTAAATTTGACTGTATTATTTACATTTAGTGCAAGTGGAGTAACAACTCCACCGACTGTTGTGTTTCCTTACAAAAGATTACCTGCCTCTGTTGGACGATCAGTACCTGATGATTGGGGAATCGGTGTAACACCAAGTGGTTGGATGAATGCAGAATTATTTTATGAATATTTAGAAAATGTATTTTATCCTTATCTCAAAAAAGAAAAGATTGTGTTTCCTGTTATTTTATTTGTCGATGGGCATAGTAGTCATGTCACTTTAGAAGTAAGCAAACTTTGTTCAGAATTAGAGATAATTCTTATTTGTTTATATCCAAATTCAACAAGAATGTTACAACCTGCTGATGTCTCAGCATTTAGACCTTTAAAGAATATGTGGAAAAAAAGTGTTTTAGAATGGAGGCAACAAAATCCAACACTATCGTTATCATTAGATAGAATGGCTCCACTTTTGAAAAATGCTGTTGATAAATTTTCACCTGATGGTAATACCATAAGAAATGGTTTCAAAGCATGTGGCTTATATCCTTGGAATCCAGATGCAGTAGATTACTCAAAATGTCTTGGTGTTAGACCAAAAATATTATCACTATTGATCGTCCATCTAATGCAGCCACAATTTCATTTGAAACGTATGCCAAAGTAGTGGGAGATGACTTATTGAAAGAATTACAATTATTTCCTTCTCAGCAAGTCACAGCAGAAAGCAAGTCAACAGAGTTTTTAATTCTCCATCAATTGTTTGAAGAATATACAAAAGTATCAAATTCAACAAATAATTATGATGCACAATTAGCTACAGATATTGTAGGTAATTTAGAGTCAAATGTAGGTGATTTTGAGTTAAATGTAGGCGATTTTGAGTTAAATGTAGTTGATTTAGAGTCAAATGTAGGTGATTTTGAGTTAAATGTAGTTGATTTAGAGTCAAATGTAGGTGATTTTGAGTTAAATGTAGTTGATTTAGAGTCAAATGTAGGTGATTTAGAGTCAAATATTGATAAAATTGATAAAACTGAGAGTGATATTAAAAATAATTTAAAGTTAGATAGTATTATTGCGATAAATGATGAGACTGATACTAATAATATTATAGAAAATTTAAAGTTAAATAATATATTGACTATTAATGAGGATGAAAGTAAAATTACAGATAATTTAGAAATAAATAGTATTGCAATTGATGAAACTGGATGTGATATTATACTATGTGATTTAGAGTTAAATAATAAGATTACAACTAATAAAATTGAAGGTGATATTATAAATGACTCAGAATTAAATAATATTGCAATAATTGATAAAATTGAAAGTAATGTTACGAATGATTTAGGAGTAAATAATATTATTGTAGCAAATGGTAAGCCTAAATTCAATGTTAATAATTTAGAAATAAATAATATTGTTGAATATAATAAAACTTCATATAATAATAATATAAATAATTTAGAATTGAATCTAGCAGCCGATAAGACTGAAGATAATAAAGTACTTGATTTGTCTCTGAGTCATCGTAAAGATTGTTCTAAAAAACTGAAAGATTTTTTACCACGACCAGTAACACCTACGCGCAAAGGAAAAAAGTTTACCGAACGAACATCATATGCGATTTCATCCTTTAAATGGCAATTAAATGAAGAGAAAAAATTAGAACGAATAAAAATGGAACAGAAACGAAAGGATGATAAAAAACAACAAATGTTAGAAAAGAAAAAAATAGCTGAAAAGTTAAAAGAACAAAAAAAATTAGCAAGACTACAAAAACAACAGGAGAAAAAAACGATGTTACAGAAAGTTAAAAAAGAGAAAGTTGACAATAAAGAAAATATTGATGAAAAACCAAAAAAAACGAGGAAAAAGGATCAGGCAATTTTAAAACCAAAAATTTTGAAAAATGAAATATTTTCAAAGAAAGTTCGTTTAGTTTAAAATAATATTATACTTGTTAAACAAAATTTGTTTCTCTTGTTTATATTTTAATTAATATGTTCATCTTATGTTAAATATATGTAATAAAATATATATTGATTTAATAATTTTGGTTTTTTGATGCTAAATAATTTTTTGTCACTCTTTAATTATATATATATATATTTACTCATTCTAGCATGGATAGAGGCCAATCACTATCGCACTGTTGTACAATAACTGTGTTAATATAGTCAATGATTATCTTTTTTGACAAGAGAGTTTTTTTTACATAATTTTTATTAATTCCTAAATTTTTATGATGGATTTTATTTTATTATGGATTATTATTATTTTTCACAGAGATTAGTACTAGTGGTTTTTTTCTCTAAATTATTGAATTCAGGTTCATAATTCGATTTTTGTTTTGCGATCTTGCTTAAGTGGCCAATCACTATATTGTTTACCCCTACTGTATGTGTGATACGCGATACTCGATTGCGCGTAAAATTTAAAAATTGTTATTAACACATTACTGTCTAACGGATACCCTCTTGATGTAGTTTTTATAGAAATAAAACGCAGATTAAAAAATTTCACTATCAATAATTTCAATAAAACTAAAACGAAGAACACCGGAATCAATAACAATAACACTGAAGATAATAAAAAATATATTGATATTCCTTACATCGAGACGATCTCAGAATTTGTTGCATCCGCGATAAAAAAATCTGACTTAAAGGTATAGGATACCGTTGCATTAAGAAACTCGATTGTTTTATAAAAGTACAGAAGGACAAGAATGAGCAACCTTATGATTCTAACGTCATCTATAAAATAAACTGCAACGATTGCGATGCGACATACATAGGTCAGACTAAGAGATAATTGCGCACCAGAATTAAAGAACATATGAATAACGTTAAATTAGACTCTACGAGACACTCAGTGATTTCTGAACACATTATAAACGGTGACATTCATTTAATTGGAAAAATGTGTAACGTAGCACCTTCCCGACGCCACGGATCGGCTCGCCGGTGCCAGGATTCGGGAAGAGGGGAGACTCAGATTTACAATGACACACGGTTGCTCTGGTAAAAGTAGAGTTTATTCGGGGCCACCTTCCTGTGGTTCTCCCGTGATTCAAACCATTATACACAGCACAGTATGATCGGACGAAACGCGACCAGATGATACGGACGCGGACACGACTTATTGCTAGGATTGACAGATAGAAATATTACGGACGAGACGCGACCAGATTATACGGACGCGGACATGACTTATTGCTAGGCTCGACAGATAGAAATATTACGGACGAGACGCGACCAGATTATACGGACGCGGACACGACTTATTGCTAGGATCGACAGATAGAAATATTACGGACGAGACGCGACCAGATTATACGGACGCGGACACGACTTATTGCTAAAGTTTCCAACGCGTACGGGCGCCCTGAGAAGGGCGAGCTCCGTCGGGCGCCGGTGACTTTCAGGTAGGACCCGGTGACCGAGGACGCTCGGCCTGCACGACGAGAACACTCGTCGGCCGGGGTGATTTACGGACAGGACCCGGTGACCGAGGACGCTCGGCCTGCACGACGAGGACGCTCGTCGGCCGGGGTGATTTACGGACAGGACCCGGTGACCGAGGACGCTCGGCCTGCACGACGAGAACGCTCGTCGGCCGGGGTGATTTACGGACAGGACCCGGTGACCGAGGACGCTCGGCCTGCACGACGAAAACGCTCGTCGGCCGGGGTGATTTCCGGACAGAACCCGGTGACCGAGGACGCTCGGCCTGCACGACGAGAACGCTCGTCGGCCGGGGTGATTTACGGACAGGACCCGGTGACCGAGGACGCTCGGCCTGCACGACGAGAACGCTCGTCGGCCGGGGTGATTTACGGACAGGACCCGGTGACCGAGGACGCTCGGCCTGCACGACGAGAACGCTCGTCGGCCGGGGTGATTTGGAGTGTGGGAGTTGAGGAGTGATCCCTGAGTACGCTCGAGGGACCAGGACGGGACTGGTGGTGAAGTCTCGGCTGCGCCGCTCTTTATACCCGTCGGCCACCCCACTCTAAGACTAGCTTGGAGGGGGCCGAGTGACGGGTGGGGGCGAAAGGCGGATTCCCAACGTGTTCGTGTGGTGGCCCCGAAAGGGGCCGTTTACATGAGCGCGGGCGACTAGTGACGGCTAATCGGGTCGTCACAAATGTAAAAGTCTTGGACAATGAGAAAAAAATTACCAAAAATGCTCATATCTGAAATGCTACATATTAAAGAACACAAAAATAGCATTAACTTAAACAAGGACACTGAATTGCTCGATAGTTATTTTGACATTCTCAATAAATTATCTTAGTCATGACAAATAAATATAACAATATAGACATTAATTTACACCGACGTTCATTTCTCATTTTAACTTTGACTTTCAATCGTATAACAACAATTATATAAAATCGGAAAAAAATAGAATTATATAAAATGTTTGTGACTCTTATGATATTTTAACTAATTTATCGATTAATTGTTTCAACATATGGACATAGAAGTGAATAATTTATCACGTTGCGATAAAGTATCTTTTGTTAAATTTTCTCAGTACTAATAACTTATGTATATGTGTAGTGCGGATTATTACGAAACTCGTTGAATTCCAAATTTTGACTGTGCGGCTTTTTTAAGACAATAACTCATAAAGAAACTTTAATCATCTTTTCCTTTGCCTATCAACGAGGAATTATGCCAAAGGTTTTTTTGAATGACTTGTACAAAATTGTTTAGAACATTTTACTGTATTGGCGATATCCGAGTTTCGAATTGACATAGCTTTCTCTAATTAAATACTTTCGATACCACATTACATCATGTTTTTTTATATCATAATTTTATATCATGTTTTAATGTTTTATTAATTTTTAAATTTTGTATTGAAAAAGACCTTAGTGAGGTCGAAACGTTTACATGTTAAGAATATTAATAAAGAAAAAGTTTTTATTTACACCTAATTTTTGCTCGATTGTTGGCTTATTAAATTACTTTTATTAATTTTGACAATATCTATAAATTTTGTATTGATATTTCATTCTTTCTATAAGATTACGAAGGAAAGACGGTCATCACCAGTAGCGAGCGTCTGGCAGATACGAATGGAGCGTGTATAGTGGCATTTCTAGCTTATTTCTCAAAAATGCGTTGTCGAAATACTACTTTCTTATATATGGTTAGATTTGAAATTAAATAAGCTTTCAGAATTTTTATAAAGAAAATTAAAAATTTTTTTAAATTATGGAAGAGGGAAGAAATTTTGAAAAATTTGAAATTTTTGAAAAATTTTTTTGCACTGTTTTAAAGAGCATTAAAAACCATAAAACTTTTACTTAAAACATTTTTTAATATCTTTTACCGGTTTGAAGGTATTAGCTCAGAAATAAAAAAAGCGATTTTTTCAAGGAGGTGGTTTACCCCCTAAATATCGGAATTACGGCGCTAAAAAACATACGGGTCTTATATTTTTTAATGCTCTACAACATATTCAAGATTCATTAAAATCGGTGAAGGACACTTCCGACCGTTTCCTTGTGAGTTAATATATGAGCACACACGGCTCTAGCATAAGCATGATCAAGTAGCATTTTTTCTACAGATGTCGGAACATAAATAATATCTAATAGTTTCTTTCAAGCCACTTCTTGCCATTATGTATCCAACCCCCAAGCCT